TTTTTTTTTTTGCAGTGTCTTTGGTTTGGGAATCAGGAAAATGCTGACCTCATAAAATAAGCTGCGGGCCTTCCTTCCTCTTGAATATTTTGGAATAGTTGAAAAGAATACATGTTAATTTTTTTCTCTTTGTTTGGTAAAATTCACTGGTTAAGCCATCTCGTCCAGGAATTTTGTTTGTTGGGAGTTTTTGATTACTGATTTGATTTAGTTAGTAGTTATAGGTCTGTTTAGATTTTCTGTTTCTTCTTGATTCAGTCTTGGGGGATTGTATGTTTCTAGGAATTCATCCATTTCTTCCAGGTTGTCCAATTTATTGGCATATAATTTTTCATAATATTTTAAAAATATTTTTGTATTTCTGTGGTGTCAGTTATTATTTCTCCTCTTTTATTTCTGATTTTATTTATTTGGGTCCCCTCTCTTTTTTTCTTGATGAATTTGCTTAAAGGTTTATCAATTTTGTTTGTCTTTTCAAAGAACCAGCTCTTGGTTTCATTTTTTTGTATTATTTTTTTATACTCTTTCATTTTTTTTCCCCTGCTCTGGTCTTTATTATTCCTTCCTTCTACTCATTTTGGGCTTTGATTATTCTTCTTTTTCTAGTTCCTTTAGGTGTAAGGTTAGATTACTTATTTGAGATTTTTCTGTTTCTTGAGATAGGCTTGTATTGCTAAGAATTTCCTTCTTAGAACTGCTTCCATTGTGTCCCATTGATTTTGGATCATTGTGTGTTCATTTTTATTTGTCTCAAGGTATCTTTTGATTTCTTCCTTGATCTCATTGTTAACACACTCATTGTTTAGTAGCATATTATTTAGGGCCCATATGTTTGTATGTTTTTTCAAAAAAAAAAAAAAGGTAATCTTGATTGTACGTATAGGTACTTGCATTTCATCACTTTCAGTATTTTGGGCCAATCCCTTCTGGCCTGCAAAATTTCTGTTGAGAAATCAGCTGACAGTCTTATGGGAGTTCCCTGTGTGTAACTAACAGCTTTTCTCTTACTGCTTTTAAGATTTCTCTGTCTTTAACCTTTGGTGTTTCAACTGTGATGTGTCTTGGTGTGGACCTCTTTGTGTTCATCTTGTTTGGGACATTCTGTGCTGTCTGGACTTGTATATCTATTTCCTTCACAAGGTTAGAAAAGTTTTCAGTCATTATTTCTTCAGATGGGTTTTCAATTCTTTGCTCTCTCTCTCTTCTCCTTCTTGGTACCCCATGATATGAATGTTGGTATGCTTCATGTTAAGATACCCAGAGGTCTCTTAAACTATCTCCATTTTTTAAATTTTTTCTTTTTGCTCTTCTGATTGGGTGTTTTCTGCTACCTTGTCTTCCAAATCGCTGATTCAGTCCTCTGCTTCATCAAATCTACTGTTGATTCCCTCTAATGCATGCTTCATTGCAGTCATTGTAGTCATTTCTGACTGGTTCTTTTGAATGTTTTCTATCTCTATTTTTATGTTTCCTATCTCTTTTTGTTTCCTATCTCTTTGTTGAAGTTCTCACTCAGCTCATCTACTCTCTTCCTTTAAGTTCACTGAGCATTCTTATAAATGAGTGTTTTGAACTCTGCATCTGGTGGATTCCTTCTCTCTATTTCGTTTAGTT